CCGTTTTTTTTTTTTTTTTTTTTCATTCGATTTTCGATTACTTCTTTATGGTATACACGAAAATTTATTGTCATTTGCAATTTTGCATTATCTGCATCAAAAGCTTTACAGGCGGCTAGAATAGGGTTATGTTAATATTTCAATGTATTAGCCTACTGTCTACGTTTTATTTATTTGAATAAGTGAACGGTATACGTTTGACGAGGTATAAAATAAAAAGCTGCATAAACCAAAGACAATTTGAGCAAAGTCTGTTTCTAATGCATTCTTATTGCTTAGTTTTCCCTGTGGTCTGATAGACCACACACAAAACAATCGTTTTTCAATGCTTAAGTCATAGAAAATGAAAAAACGAACTAAAAGAATAGTGAGCCTTCTATATTATTCCAGTTTACAAATGATTACAAAATGCAAAGCTGTATCGAAAGCCAAAATTTAGTCACAAAACTTTAAAAACTTTTCCAGTTGAATTAGAATATCAGATGAACATTTTTATGAAGCGTCTGTAAAAATTTTTTACAGTAAGAGTGATCTGAAAAAAAAAAAAAAACAAGTAGAAACTTCACAACCTTAGATCTTGTTCGTGGAGCATAAGTTTAGGAGTAACATTCGTATACCTGTATCCGTTATCCGAGCTTTATTAAAGCTGCAGCTATTACTAGGAAACAAAGGTCCACATGGTACGACTATACCTGTAAATTTCCTAAATAATCAACTACTTTTACTGCGCAAAAACAATATGCGTAAACACTTGTGAGAGAACTTTGATAAAATTTCCGACAATGAAATCGTCTCGGGTTCTGGAGTCTCTAAAAAATAACGGCTTAGCCTTTTGAAAACCTGCTTGGCGTTCAAATGTGCAAAGGCGTTCTTAATGGAACACTGGGTAAACATAACGTGCTTAAGGGAGAACTAAATGGTGCTACAGTAAGGCAAGTCGTTAAAATTCCTTCGAGCACGTCTATAAATTACCGTAGTACCACTTAGTTCTCCTTTATAGTTGAGACTTTGTGTTTTGTGAAGGTCAGGAATATTATAAGAGGTCCATTAGTACTTTTGGACAGAACTTGGTTAGCGATCAAAATCAGGGAGCTTAATTGGAAAATCTGTTGCTGGATTCGTACTTTTCTTTCTGTAATTTACAAAAACAGTTACATTGCTTGTAAACGTCAGATAACGGTTGTTTACATATGTGTATATTATTAGTATATGCAAACATTTAAATTGTTAGACTGAACAATTGTTTAATATAGGTTTAATGCTGGTTTTTGGAATATCTTCGTGAGTACTAAAGGAAGCATTATTGTTGTCTGGTATTTCTTGTAAATAAGTGCTTGTTGGTGACGTTTTCTGTGCAGATTGAATGTTTTCTTTGCAGATGGTGCAAGAAAAAGAGGATGGAAACAGCACTGTACGTCCGCAAGGCGATGACAAGATTGTTACAATGGAACCGATAATACAAGTGATAAATAAGTTAAGAGAAGTATTTTCTGCTGTAGGTGCTCGAGATGCTGAAATTCAGCTACCTCAAATTGTTGTTGTTGGGGCGCAGGTAAAAAAAGTGATTTTTATTTGGTTTATTGTCGAATTTTTCAAATTCATTTCTTTCTGAGTAACATTTTCGCAAAGCGTTATTTATTTCACTGAGTAATTTTGAACAGCTTATAACTTACTAATGCAATGCATTATTGTGGATATAATTACAGAGTTCTGGTAAAAGTTCTGTTTTGGAAGGAATCGTCGGCAGAGATTTTCTACCGAGAGGCACCGGGATCGTAACCAGGCGACCTTTAGTGCTGCAGCTAATCAATGTACCCTTAGAAGACAAAGAAGCACGGATGGATGATAATGGTGCGTTGGTCCTTCCTCAGGAATTTTTGGTGATGTTTTTTTGTAAATTTTCATGGTTTTGCTTGGTAGAGGAAGGAATTACTGAAGATTCTTGTTGCATTTTACCTATCGTTCGTAACGTCTTCAGGCTACTTAATTTCTGCTGAGGAGTTTGCAAGGTTTGACCATAAAGCGAATAAAGTCTATACTGATTTTGAAGCTGTCAAAAACGAAATTGAAGCTGCTACCGATGAACTAACAGGATCGAATAAGGTGTGGTTATTGTTGTTAGTTCGTTCGTCCTTTTATTTTCAAAATATTTTTTTTTTAGGGTATTTCAGGGATACCAATTGGTTTGAGGATCTATTCTCCCAGTGTTGTGAACTTGACGTTGATCGATTTGCCTGGTATTACAAAGGTTCCAGTTGGAGACCAGCCATCCGATATTGAAGTCTCCTATTTAATACTTTAATTCCTCTTCTCTTAGTGTTATTTTCTCCAGTTCCTTGTTAAATGTCTTGAAAATTTCATTTTCACGTTTGGTAATGGAATTTAGATCCAGATTCGCGACATCATTTTCTCATATATTTGCAATCCGAATTCTATAATTTTGGCTGTAACTCCAGCAAATCAAGATTTTGCCACATCTGAACCACTAAAAATGGCTCGAGAAGTTGATCCTGAGGGTGAATGGCAGCTTTTTAATATTAAAACTGATTTACTTAATGATTTTTTTTTTGATTGGAGGAGGGAAGGGGTTACAAAGTGCTTTCCAAAACTGTTCTTTTAATGATTGGTTTGGACCATGTACCTGTACTGTGTAGGAACAAGTTCGATGACTGCTACGTAAAATTGCAGGGTGTCGTACTCTGGCCGTCCTGACCAAACTTGATCTAATGGATCAAGGTACCGATGCTGTGGACGTTTTACTTGGAAGACTTGTCCCTGTAAAACTAGGGATTATTGGAGTTGTGAATCGGCAAGTCTTTTAACTTTTTGGCATATCACATCATCAGGGTCCTATCTTTTTGTTTCCTCTTTGTTTTCTCAACTGTCTTTCGAGAATTTTAAGATGAATGTTTCTTGCTTATTCTTTTTTTCTGACAGTAATTAGTCTTTTTAGTTAATTTAATGTTACACCGGATCTGAAGTATTTTTTAAGTAAAGGAGCTTTATCACTCAACTATGTGAAGAATAATTTTGCTTAGATTGAAGTGACCTATTTTTCTGTAAATTGCAAGGTAAGTACTTGTTTTACTTTAGCTCTCAAGCAGACATTGTCAGTAAAAAGTCGATCGCTGAAAGTCTTCGCTATGAACAATCATTTTTGCATAGGAAGTATCCTACCTTAGTCAGCAGAAGCGGGACCCCTTACTTGGCCAAAACCCTCAACAGAGTAAGGTTTTCATGTTGATAATCAAGATTATTGAAACATTATCTTTATTTAACTCTCGTTTGTACTGCATTAAATTATTAGCATTAGAGACTCAGAATTAATGAAAGCTTATGTACTTTTTTTTTCATATAAAAGTCAACTGAGTAATGATAAAAAATGTTATTTTTTTGTGTTCAAGCGTAGAATTTATATATCTTCTTGTTGAGCTGTTCATTGTTCGATGAATTATATTAACTTTTAATGAATGAGCAAATACGATTTTATAAATATCGCAGAAATCATTTTTTTTTTCTCTCCTATCCCACTCGTTTATTTCCCCAAAATATTTATCCTAAAAGAACTCATCCTGACGGTGCCTGGATTGTCATTGGCTCGTAAATATACAAAACATCTTCTGGGTGTTATAATTAGAAGTATAGCCTCATTGTTATAATTAAACGGTTTAATCAATAGTTTTCTCCGAGAGGGATAGAATTTAAATGTTTTAAGTTGAGCACAGCTTTATTTATTTTTTCATAATTTATTTAGCTTAAATGGTTTTCGATAAACCTCACTTTGTGCTCGGGGATTTATTTACTTTAAAAAAGGCATGGGAAGCATTGTGAACACTCACTTTTGTGGGGAGGTGCAGCGGAGATACATAATTTTAGTGTTATTTCTCAAAAACACTGCTTGAAAGTTGGATGGTAATTATTAATGACAATTTTAGTTGCTTATGCATCATATAAGAGAATGCTTGCCACAACTCAAGATGCGTGTAAATATGATGGTCTCACATTACCAATCTGAACTTAGAACTTACGGAGAGCCAGTTCAAGATTATGGTCGGACTTTACTGCAGATCATCACTCGGTTTGCGACTGCGTACGCTGCTGCAATTGAGGGCATATCAAAAAACATTGAGACTTCTGAACTGTATGTAGTTTGAACGTATTTCTTTTTTTTTATTTTAGCTAGTTTGCCACTTTTTTTGTGATTTCTAAGGAATTTAGGTTATACTTCTGCAGAAGTTGTAAATGCCGAGGTGTTCTTAGATTTGTTCATTTTCACTCTGTAAAACTAGTGGGTGAAGTTTCTTGTACACTTTGAGCTAAAGTACTAAAATACTCTTCTTGTTCAGCTTTTTTCGCGAAGTGATTGGAGGAGAATGTTTCTTGTAAAGGTCGTTATGTGTTTCCCATTTAAAGAATTTTTGCATTCAGTGAGAGTATAGTGATTTTAAAGTGAAATGTCGCATTAAAAATCTTAAGGCTAGTCTAGAACTAGAAGTGAAAAATCTAAGAATTTCTTGCAGAACTGAGAGCTAAGGTTTGCATCATGTAAAAGAGTGTTTTAAATTTCTAAATTTTCAAAATTTGTAGTCAGCTAATTTTCATTGGCTGTGAAAGTTAGTTTTTGATTGGGCCTAGCCTCATAATAACCAGCAAAATTCTGAAACGAAGTTTTTTTTACAAAATTTAGTTATTGAGGAAATTGAGTTGAACGAATAAAAGGCTGGAAATAATCTCTTTGTACTTTTTTCAAAGATATTAATTGTTTTTAGAATTTTTAAATGGATTCTTATAGGTGTGGTGGGGCTCGCATAGGATACATCTTCCATGAGACATTTGGCAAAGTTCTGGAAGCTATTGATCCATTGGATGGGCTAACGCAGCTTGACATATTAACTGCTATGCGCAATTCTACAGTTCGTTGTCACATTTTCGTTTGCTAATGAACGAGGAACTCTATTTTATTTTTTTGTTTAGGGTACACGTATGGCCATATTTGTCCCTGAAATGAGCTTTGAATTGCTCGTGAAAAAACAGATTAGCCGTCTGGAAGACCCTAGTTTACGTTGTGTTGAATTAGTGCATGAAGAGCTGCAGCGTATTGTGCAACATTGTGGCCAACAAACACAGGTTTTAAGTTTAAGTTTTAACGTGTTCGTTGCTTATCATTATGTAATTCAGTAATTTCATGTTTCTTCTTGGTAAAGAATGCATCTTGACTTCTATCTTTTTTACAGCTTTGTAGGACTTATTTCGTTCGTTAGAGTGTACATAAATGTAAAGTTATTTTAAAAAATTGAGCGTTATTTTTTTTGTGTTCAGCAAGAAATGATGCGGTTCCCACGGCTGTTTGACAGAGTTAATGAGGTTGTAAATGCTTTATTGAGAAGTAGACTGATCCCAACCAATGAAATGGTTAAGAACTTGGTTGCTATAGAATTAGCGTACATTAATGCTAAGCATCCCGAATTTGCGAATAGTGCACTAAAAAAAATCATAAGGGTAAGTAGATTTTTCAGTTTACTTATCTCGCTTGTTACTTTTAAAAATTGATATGGAACTCATCGTACAATGGACTTTCGGTTTTCTTGCCGTTAATGCTTTGCTTTAATAAAAGTATGTTTAAATTTCTGGGAATTTCATTATGACGCGGCGTAAGCGGTGTTGAAAATACTACTTTAGGATCATTTGCACATTGAAAGTAATACCAAGTCGTCGATTAAAGAGTCGTCATCAAGCGCAGTTGTGCAGGTTCCTGTTGTGGAGGTGATTTTTTTTATCTTTGCGCTTCTGATTAGTTGTTTTTCAGTCTTTTTAGCTGCACTTATGTTACCCGTTAAGTTGATGCTTCTTTTGGAGATTTTTCACACAGTTGAAGGAAACATAGTTAAAAAAAGAAGTGTGCAGAACAGAAAATAAGACAAAAATCTCAGTACCTACTGAGAACTTGAAACGTTGGTACAAAATTCGCTGCTGTTTACTTGCTTGTAGACTAGTGGCCTACCTTAGAAAGAATAGTTTATGCTGGTATTAGTCGAAGTGTAAAAGGTCGAAGGATCGTTAACGTTCAGGGAAAATGTAGGAAAATCCAAAGTTAATCTTTATTTCTTTTGAAGCTAATTATTTCGTTAATCTTTTAGAAAAGTCTCGGTCTAACAATTCATTTGTGTTTCTCCTTTGAAATTTTCCAATTTATTTTTTTTATGTGTGTGGCCTGATAGGAGTCCTGTTTTTGATGATTATCGTATTACATTCTTGAGCAGCTGAAAAAGAAGGTTAAACGAGGCTTAGTAGTTGAAAAATTTGTTTTTACCATGTCGTTTTGCGAAATACTGCTTATAGGAAAAGTTTTTGATTATCATTAAAGCAGAAATTTGAACATAAAACTGTATTTGTGAAGGTAGTTGTTCTGGAATTATCTTTCAACGATGCTCCTTCCAGCTAACGGAAGGAAGGCAACACTGTTCAAGCTTCAAAGACTGGATTCAGTCATCAAATGGCTTATAATAAACATGACTTTGTAGATTCCTGTAAATAAGCACAAAATCGAAATACGGAGCAGTTGTGAATATCTGCTGAGTGAAGAAATTATCGCGAAGTTGCATGCCAGTTTTGGAAACTAAAAGTTTGGAGAAAAAGATAGCTGTTCTTAAATGCTAGTGTTAGTAACGCATTATAGGGAACTAACCTGTTTCTTATTAGTAAAATAAAGCTGATTTTTTAGTTTTTCTATATTCAAACAGAGCTAGACTTAATCTCTTGTTTAGTGACGGACCAGCTATTACACAAGTGTGTAAATGAAAACGAGCTTGCAGTGGGGTTTTACTTTCACTCTGTATAGGAAGAACTTTGTTTTAATTCTTATCTTGCGCAATCCGGCCTCAACTGCATTCATTGACTCGTGCAGTCTGTTCTAGGCAAGTATTGTTTAACTTTCAGGGTGTTGACGAGGATAGTGGCACTGGTCAAATGGGTAGCGCGAAGCCTGGGGTGACCAATAGTCCGAGTAAGTCATCTAGTCATTGCCACTGTTGTTTGATGCAAAATAAATATCTAGTGCTCTTCATATCTCATATTTTTTGACAGAACAGGTCGAGATGTTAGGTTTTAAAAGAAATATTTAGGTTCTCAAAAATTGGTCACTTGATGGACACAGTTAAGTCTATATAAGTTTTTATAAAAATTGGTATCTGTAATTTTTTTGCAACATATGGCTTCAGCAGTAACAGTTTCAGCGTCTACGCCGCGCAAAGCAGTAAGCTTTCTACCTGAGGTTCCGGAGAAAACTATAACTCGAAAGTTAACAGCTCTAGAAAAGAGCGAGTGTAGAATAATAGGTAGGTAGACTTGCTGTGAAATGCTGTCACAAGTTTCTACTTCATTTTATGCGACATTTTTTGTAATCAGCATGAGTGTTTGCAGAAAAACTTATAAAGAATTATTTCACGATAGTGAAGAAGAATGTGCAGGATGCAGTACCAAAGGCCATAATGCATTTCTTGGTAAACTATGTGCGGGTACGTGCCTTTCTTTCAAATTAGTTTTCTATTATAAATTGTGAAGCCAGAATTCAAGGATTTCAGGATAATTTACAAAGTGAATTAGTTAGGGAGTTGTACAATCAAGAGGAGAATGAGGATTTGCTCTCCGAGAGTCCTCTAACAGCTCAGAAACGAAAAGAATGCATGGATATGTTAAAAGTTTGTTTCTATTTCCGAGTCTTATACCATTTAAATGTTTGTTTGTCTTTTTTACTCCTATTCTGATCAACACTTTAGGCCTTGGAGAAAGCGACCGGAATTATTAGCGAGATTCGTGAGGTGCATGTTTTTTGAAAGATTGACTTGGAGATGTTGCAAGCGCTGTCCCATCCTTCTTTTCCACGTTAGGATTTCAGATTGTAGTGGGAGTTGGGGTTTTGGTGTGTAGTCATGTGAAATTGATTTGCTTAATTATGTACTGTATTTTTTTCAAACTAAAAATTTTTTTTGAAACGTTTTCTCATAGTTTACTGCAATTGTGTGGTATGTTTCTGTACCATTGTTAGTGAATTCTATATCATACGAATTTCTTACTTTGCGTATGCTTTTTTGAAGAGTGCTGTTGAGTGAATGCAGTCACGGATAAGACGTAAAGAAGGAGAAAATTACAGGTTATTCTTAATTTTATTGTTGTTTATTTCTGTTGATCCTTGCAGATTTGTTGATCTTTAAATCGGCTTAAAAAACTGAATTTGGGTTTGGACCTAAAAGTTAGGTCTTCATGAAGATTATATTGTTGTATAGTTACAAAGTTTCTGAGGTTGGCAAGTGTAGATGTCTCTTTCAGCCAAATCATTTCTAATTTTTCTTGCGCTTGGTAGTGCAGTGTAGTGCAGTGCATCATAATATGTCGATTTTTTTTCTTGTTATGTGTCTTCTAAATCTTGTTGTTACTCTCCTGGATAAAAATTTCTAATGAAGTCATTTGTCCTGGTTTCCAAATACGCGATGGTGCATCACTGAAGTGTGAGCAGCTGTAGAGAAGCTGAACAACAAACATTTTTCGATAACGTGTGATGAACGGTAGATGTGGGGTCTACTCGTGGCCGTTTGATGAAACAGCATCCCCTATTAGCGGCAAGGGTTTTAGTTCTAGTGGAATATTATAAAATTCAGTTCCAATTTGATAACGGTAATTGACACAGGCAAAAAATTGTAAGGCAAGTGCATGAGGGAGGAGACATGTGGAAGTAAACGAGTAGTGTCAGAGGGGAGTGGAGTGGTCAAAGCATGAGTAGAACTTTTAGGTTGGTGGAAGCAGACAGGGCTAAAATTTTAAGGCAATTTTTAGGGGGGAAAATGAGAACTACGTAAATGTGGAGACAGGCGACATTTGGAAGCAATTTCCAAAGAATCTCCGCTTTTAATTTTGCTGCTGGAATTGAACGCTGTTTGCGTTCAGAAGCAGTTAGTTTACACTAAACATCTGTGTATTCCTTTCTTTTATTCTGGTATGTAAAAGACGGCACTTACTGGGGACGCGGTCTTCATTATTTCCTGAGCCGGTGGCTGCTTGCTATCTGAAAATACCCGTGTTTGCAAAAATTTTTCAATTTCGGCAAGTTCTCAAAATTCAAAAAGTTGCAGGAAGGAAGTAAATAAAAGTTTTCTGAAGAATGGGATTTTGGAATTGGGCAAAACGTTGCATCACTTCCCCTGAGTTCTGGTCAAACTTTGGCAGGTGTGAGGACTGAACGTTTTATATCGGTCATAAATGACATAGTATAGAGTTGCCTTAGCCGTACGCTCTAATCTAAATTCATGCTATGTTGGTGCTGTTCCTCGCTATACTCGTAAATGCGTTTTTATTCTGCCTTCTAGCTTTTCTACTTCAGGCTGATGCTCATCTGTTCTATATTGTAAAAAGCTGTGAGAGCTTTTGGTCGACAAACCAATTTTTCTGTAGGACGCGCTTTCCATTTCCGCAACTCCCGGGTTCAAAAGTGTATACAGGAAAATCATGCAGTGAACCGCTGAAGGGACAACAGAGGTTGGGGAACTCGCTTCTTCAAGGACCAGGTCCTTGATCAGCGCTCTTTTACTTTTTCTACTGGGAAAGAAAGATTGGGGAGGAAGGCGCAGGTGCTTCCAAAAATGAGCGATGTTGCACTCCAGTACTGTAGGGTTAAGGAATTGCGAAGGGAATCGCCGTTTGAGGCCGGCCACGCAAAGCTTGATTGCGAAGGGTCGCTCAAGCATGTCGTGTTCTTTTCCTCATGTAGGGCCTAATACACTGGCTTTAGCTGGCTCGTTTTGGATAGGTCGGTTTAACTCCGGTTTCATGCCGTTACGTACGATCATAGATGTTAGCACATAAACAGCTCAGAAACCAACAACTTTCTCCACAGGGTACATCAAAGTACAGCTTAAGAAACGAAAAATTATGATGGGACAAGGACTAACCTCTGATTTTTAGCTAGAATAAACTAAACATGTGACTTCCAAATGTTATGAAAGAACAGTCAGACGAAGTTTAATCGAAGGTATGAAGGTTAGTGCTTCAAATGGATTTGGGCAATTTGCCGCCGCTCCTCACTACTATTTGTTAGGTATATGAAAAGATGAGGAAGTTTTACCCTAAGTAGAGGTTAATGGTGTTGTAGCCTCTCCTTGAATTTTGCACTAGCGATGGTAACGTGACATATTTTTTATACCAATAGTACAAGAAAGACAGATTTTTGTCAGAAATTATGAAAGTTACTGAATTCTCCCCAAAAATTTCAGCCTGTGTGCAATATTTTCATCGTGTGAAAGAATCTTTTTCTTTGGAATTTAATTTAGAGTGACAAGTTGGTAGTGTGGTTACTAACAAAATAAGCATATTCACGTAATGCTTAATATGTTTGCTGTGTTTCTTTTGTCGAAAATATTAAGCAACAGAGCGAAATTTAGAAGCAGCGTGCTTCGCTGATCTCGTCTTTTTACCTTTCTTTCAGTACTAAAGCCATCTTTTTAAAAATGCACCATTACTCAATGAAGAAAATTTTTTGGGCGTCGAAAGATATCTGCAATTCTACTAAATATGCAAAAAATGCTGTTCAGAGAGTGTACAGGTATTGGACAATTTGCTTAACTTTTATATAAAAATCAAAACTGTGACTTTTACTGATACAGTTGACTCGTGGCCGAGGCATAGTTGCTTGTTCTGGCAGACTTGTCTTAAACCAATCAATGTTGTTTACTGGTCCTCAGCAGCCGTTTCTGTTAACGTTTTCGCTATTTATTCTATTATACTACTGCTGTCCTGAACATAAAAATAATGAATGAGTTTTTATAACTTCTCCTTCTTCAGTTCAACATTTGCCTCCAATTTTTTTAATGCTTCTGTGTATTTCATATCTATTTGCTCAAATTACTGTATGAATGTTATGGTTATAGTTTTTCGACAAACTTCAAAACAGGTTTGATATATCTTGTAGTCTTTGCCTTTTACTGCTTGAAAGTGTAGAGGCAGAAGTTGATAGTTCAGAGATTTAC